GGATCCAGGTGTTGGAGATTTTCATCTGATATGCTGGGGACTGTACTGACTCCCTGACACTCTCTGGTTCCAGGTGCTGGAGATTTTCACCTGATACTCTGGGGACTGTACTGACTCCCTGACACTGTCCGGATCCAGGTGTTGGAGATTTACATCTGATACACTGGTGACTGTACTGACTCCCTGACGCTGTCCGGATCCAGGTGTGGAGATTTACATCTGATACGCTGGGGACTGTACTGACTCCCTGACACTGTCCGGATCCGGGTGTTGGAGATTTTCATCTGACACGCTGGTGACTATACTGACTCCCTGACGCTGTCCAGATCCAGGTGTTGGAGATTTTCATCTGATACGCTGGTGACTGTACTGACTCCCTGACGCTGTCCGGATCCAGGTGTGGAGATTTACATCTGATACGCTGGTGACTATACTGACTCCCTGATGCTGTCCTGGTTCCAGGTTTTAGAGATTTACATCTGATACACTGGGGACTGTACTGACTCCCTGACACCGTCTGGATCCAGGTGCTGGAGATTTACATCTGATACACTGGGGACTGTCCTGACTCCCTGACACCGTCCAGATCCAGGTGTGGATATTTACATCTGATACGCTGGGGACTGTCCTGACTCCCTGACACCGTCCGGATCCAGGTGTTGGAGATTTACATCTGACACGCGGGGGACTGTCCTGACTCCCTGACACCGTCCGGATCCAGGTGTGGAGATTTACATCTGACACGCTGGGGACTGTCCTGACTCCCTGACACCGTCCGGATCCAGGTGTGGATATTTACATCTGATACGCTGGGGACTGTCCTGACTCCCTGACACTCTCCGGTTCCAGGTGTGAAGATTTTCATCTGACACGCTGGGGACTGTACACACTCCCTGACACTGTCCAGATCCAGGTGCTGGAGATTTACATTTTTAGCTCTCGTTCAAACGTCTCATCACCATCAATTCTCACGTCGGGTTTGTCTCTCACGTTTCTACCTTTTCAATCTGAAGTTTCTGAGAATTAAAAACTCTTTCCTACCTTTTATTTTTATTTGTCATTATTAAAGCAATATTTCCCTATCACAAGTGTTTGAAAACACTGAGAAGTGAAATTAAAAACAAAGAAAACCATCTTCCCTGCTCCCCCAGCGTTGCCCACTGAGGAACATCCTTCTAGCTCCTGCTCTGTCTGTGCACATATAATGTCACCTGTGCAAATCCAGGACAACAGCACAGGGCATGTTACGACCTTTCCACACAGAAAAACAGGGTGACATATTTCATGTCACTAGACTACCACGTGTATTGGAACCCTGCCCTCCAAAACAGCATGAGCCACTGTGCCCCACCCCAGTGGTATATAACATTTATTCTGTTGCAGCCTCAAGTAAGATATTATCTTTTCATATGTGGGTGGGGCAGGAAGGCATAAAATATTACCAAGTAGCATCCATCTGTGTTGCTTTCTAAAACTATTCAACATTTTTTCATAAACTTACTGGCCATTTTTCTTTCTTAATCTGTAAACTGCCCTGTGTCTGTATGTCCTTAGGCAATTTGTATAATGGACACTGAACATTCTCTTACAGACTCAAAAAAGTGTTCTTTAGGGCGGCACCTGTGGCTCAAAGGAATAGGGTGCCGGCCCCCTATGCCAGAGGTGGCGGGTTCAAACCCAGCCCTGGCCAAAAACTGCCAAAAAAAAAAAAAAGTGTTCTTTAAATATTAAGAACTTTATGTAGATTTATCTGCTGTAATGTTGTGAATGTTCCCCATTTTAACATTTAGCTTTAAATTTTATTTGTAATATACAGAAAATAACCTTTGTTACTATTTTTCATTTTGTGTTATTTTCACATAAAAAACATTCTATAAAAAATACCTAATTTTTACCATTTTGGGGGCTTATTTCATCAATAGATTAAATAAATCATCCATCACATCAGTCAACACCTGTAAGCCAGAATTTATAACATGTCAGCATAATTGTTAAAAAGTGCTTTTAAAAAGACTAAAGTTGCATAGCAGCTCAGTACGTGTAAAAGGCAGGCAGAGGACTCTGCAGTCATGACACAGGCCTCTGGCCATCATGACGGGGTGGTGTCCGGAACACACATGTGACCTCTGCATCTGTCCAGTCTCAGTCCTGAGCTCCCAGGGCTCTAAGCCAGGACAGGTGCAGGGAAGGGGTTGGTCTCACCTGAGGGAGCCCTAGCACTGAGAGGCTGAGTGGCCCGTCTAGGACCCTGCCGTCCAGGACCCCACTGTCCAGGACCCCACACTAGTCAGCAGGAGGTGGGGCTGGAGCTCGGGGGTAAGGTGAGATTTCAATTCCTTGTTCCAGGCTATTTTCTTAACAGGCTTACAAATCAAGGTCAAGCTCTTCTCAGAAAATGAAATGTTACACTGTCAATTTCATTGTTTAGAGACAATGAAACCACATTTCAGCATAGAAACCACATTTCCTGGAAAGTCTGAATGCTCAAATCCATAATCTCACCTGAGTTTAAAATTTAATCCTACTCAATTAACATTAAATTTAGAGCTGTGTTCCTAAGTGTTTGCCTCTCACTTTTATCTGTTCTTTGCAGGGAGTCTGGTGACGGGATTCACAAGTGTTCAACCATTTCTTCGGCTGTCTCGAACCTGTCGCACTGCCTTGATTAGTGAGTGTTTCTTTCCTCTCCCGGTGTCAGGGCTCCACGCTGCTCACCTTCTGTGTGCACCCTGCTCCCTCAGCCTGCAGAACGCAGACCCGCTCTTCCCCAGGGAAATGCCTCACTTTACCTGGCCCACATAGGACTTTAAGATTCTAAAATACTGGGGCAGTGTCTGTGGCTCAAAGGAGTAGGGCACCTGCCCCATATGCCGGATATGGCGGGTTTACATCTGGTCCTGGCCAAAAAAAAAAAACTTGCAAAAAAAAAAAAGATTCTAAAATACTGAGGTAGGAAGGAGAAAAGCCAAATGCCAAATCATTCACTGCACGTTCAATACAGGCTTTCAGAAAAGATTTCAGACTGGTTAAATTTAATGAGTCTTAGGGGATGAGTTCCTGGTAATAGGAGAATAATGATAATTTTAAAGACTGTAATATCATACTCCACAGAATAGTGTAAATTCTTACCAAAGCATCGTAAAGCACTGAGAAGCTGAAAGATATCGCCCACATTATGGAAAAGGGAAAAGGAGAAAACAAAGGAAGATTTTCTTACGAGAGTTGGGAGGCAGATTGGAGGACAGAGGGAGAACCAGACAAAAAAAAAGACTTTATGAAGTTCCTAAAGTTAAGTTCAAAACGGAAGAATTGGTGCCACTCTGAAGGCACATAGCTGTCATCAGACTTAAGACCGCTTACCTCATTTTCTGTTCCCACGTCCAGAATGACAGGCAGGCACTCCTGGGGGCTGACCCCGCCGCAGGCCGTGTACAGAGCCAGTTTGCCCACGGGGATGCCCATGCCGTTGCAGCCCAGGTCGCCCAGGCCGAGAATGCGCTCTCCGTCCGTCACCACGATGGCCTAGGGAGAAACGGAAAAGGAGATTCTCACAAATCCTGGGACACAATTTCTGGTTTCTATTTCTGAAGTTAATTACTCATCTAAATGAAAAATTAAGCTGTTAGAAAACATAAGCTTTATATATATGGAAAGGACATTATGACAGTAATTGTGGAAGAGTGGGGAGAGGAAATACATTTTACGTGGACTGATTTATATTCATGTGCTTAACTGGGTCACTGAGGAAAGACAAGAGGCTGTACCCAGGGTTCAAACAAACCAGACGGCTTGGTCTTCACTCAGAATAACGCAGGGAAGTCAGAGCTCAGACCGCGCAGCAGAGTGAAGCCAGGGCTGAAACCAGGCTGCAGCCACGCCGAGCATGGCTGCAGGAGTGCCCTCCAGGAGTGCCAGCAGTGAGCACTCCCTGCAGGGGGCTGGGCAGACGCAGCCGGCCACATGTCTGCCCAGATGTCGTCTGCAGCACCACCTCCTGCTTTCACGGACAGCTGACCCCTCCCTGTAGCCTGTGGCCTGTAGCCACCTGACGCTTCCCTCCCACCCTGACGCAGGCCCGGCCCAGTCTGCTGCTCCTCGTACTTGATGATCTTCCAGACCACATGAAGATCGTGCGCAGTCCGTGTGCAGTCCATTTCTAATCACCTTGAATATTTATGAAGTTTATACTCTAATCATGGTGGAAATTTTTATTCTATGCAATTTGATACCATTATTGAGATCACTGCATCTAGCATCCTTTTGATTCACAGCCATTATATGAATTTAAACAAAACCAATCTTATGAAACACGAAGTCATTAGATAGTCTACAAACTGCTACACTCTTCAGACCCATGGACTCTGGGAAGGTGTCAGTTACATGGTCTTGGAGAAAGTGATGAGTTTAAGCTTCTGTTTCTTATCTGAAAAATGGGAATACTGAATGTATTATCAGAGTTGCCACATGAGAGGTACGGAGGAGCCGCTCTGCGCGGCTCACCACCTGCCCAGCACCAAGAACAGCACCAGGCACAGCAGAGGAGCGGCAAGTGTCACTCAGCAGACAGAACTCGGACTCCA